AAAATCTACAAATAAAAGTCTACACATTCTTCCTGGACAAGGGATAACAGCACCAGAAAGAAAACTGGACAAGGATACATGGTACCGCAAATGCTAGACAATTAACAAACAGGGAAAACTGTTACCTTACATGGTAATTTCAAACTCAAAGCAAAGTTAAATTACACTTACTAGCACATCCATGTACTGGTTCTCCCTTCTCATTCTCACAGACTGATGAAACACTACACTGGTGAAGTCAACAATGAACATGATTCTCTCATCTCCACATGAGCAGCAGGAAGAGAACATGCAACTAACACTAAGCGTTGAAAAGAAGAAAGAAAAAAACAACCCTGTTTTGGAGCAAATACCTGACTTGAATGATCCTTTTCCAGGTTCAATGATCACAGAAAATAAGTCAAAATGAGTCTTAAAATACCATTTCACAAGAAAGGATACTAATCAAACTATAAAGAATCAAACTAAAAAGCTTCTGTATAGTGAAGGAAGCCATCAACAAAATTAAAAGGCAGCCTACTGAATGGGAGAAGATACTTAAAATACAAATGACATATCCAATAAGGGGTTAAAGACCCGGACATTTTTCCAAAGAAGACAGATGGTCAACAGACACAAGAAAAGATGCTCAACACCACTAACCATTAGGGAAATGCAAACACAATGAGATCTCACCTCACACCTGTCAGAATGGCTAGTATCGAAACGACAAGAGTTAACAAGTATTGGTGAGGATGTGGAGAAAAGGAAACCCTCGTGTAGTGTTTGTCAGAATATAAATTGGTGCAGCCACTGTGGAAAACAGTATGAAGGTGCCTCAAAAAATTAAAAATAGAAATACCATACAATCCCACTTCTGGGTATTTATCCAAAGAAAACAACATGATTTTGAAAATATGTATACACCCCTATAGTTTATTGCTGCAGTATTTATAAACAGCCAAAATATGCAAGCAACCCAAGTGCCCATCAATAGGAAAATGACTAAAAAAGATGGGGCAAACACAAACACACACAACAGAACATTACTTGGCCATTTAAAAAAAAAAAAGAATGAAATCTTGCCATATGTAACATGGATGAACCTAGAAGTTATTCTACAGTAAGTGAAATAAGTCAAAGACAATACCATACGATTTTGCTCACTTATATGTGGAACCTAAAAAACAACAGAACAGAAACAGACTCATAAATACAGAAAAAGGTACAGGAGCTGGGGGAGGAGGTAAGGATGGGTAAAATAAGTAAAGAGGAGGAAGAGATTAAGAGGTACAAACTTCTAGTAATAAAATGTCAGAGACCAAATGTACAGAACAGGAAATATTCAATACTGTACTGTACAATACTATAGTTAACTTTGTATGGCGACAGATAGTAACTATACTTATTGCGGTGAAAGTGTCGAATCACGAAGTTGTATACTTGAAACTAACACTGTCAATTATACACACACACACACACACACACACACACATATATATATATATATATATATATATATATATAAATCCAAATCATGGCTGCCAGAGGTTAGACATGGGGGAAGAATGCAATACAAAGGGATAGTACAAGACAGTTTTCCAGGGATGATGAAACTATTCTGTATCCTGATTATGGTGGTTACACAAACTTACAAATGTGTTAAAATTCATTTACTGCCCACTCCAAAAAAGTGAATTATACTGCATGATTTAAAAAAAAAAAAACAAAAAACTTTTAAAAAAGATATGTACACGAATTTATAGGAGCTTCATTTACATTCTCCAAAAACTGGAAACAACCCAGAAATCATTTCTTCAGAGGCTGGATGGATAAACTGTGATAAATCCACACAATGGAATGATGTTTTGTAATTAAAAGTAACAAAGAACTGATATATAAAACAACACTGATACATTGCAAAGATATCATGCTAAGTCAAAGAAGCTAGTCTTAAAAGATTACACACTGTGTAATTCTGTTTATATGACATTATGGAAAATGCCTTACAGAGACAGAGAACAGATTAATCCAAAGGGGGAAGGAAGCATCTGACTACAAAGAGGCAAAAAAAGGGAATTTACAATTTTACTGTATGTAAATTTTAAAAAAGAAACAAGTTAAAACCGTATGAAAGAGGAAGAAGTTTCAAAAACGATAAATACAGGAAACAGAAATAAGCTTTAGGCAGTCAGCTTTGTGCTCAATGAACAAGATGGACTCTGGATCAAATACAAAAAAGAAAATCAACAGATATAAGTGGGAACTAGATGTAATAATGTAAGCAAACTAACATTGTCACCAAAGAATTCAAAACTTGACAGATCACAAAACCAACACAAAGCAAACCAAAATAATGACATGGAAATTCAAATATTCTCCGAATGCAGAGAAAAATGATAAAGAACCAATAGCACCCAAGGACAAAGATGCACTATATTTTTTGACATAACCAGAAAAAAGAAAATATAAATTAAAAGGAATAAGGATAGACAAAGTATTAAGGAAAATTATAATAGAGGTCATATTAAACACATTCCAAATACATGTCCATATTTTAAGAATCTTTTGTAGTACACAGAAATAGCTATTTCCAAAGAAAGAAAATTTAGGCTGGCCTCAGACTTCTCCATGATATGAAACTATAAATAATGTAATATAAATATAAAACTATAAATCTAAGCCTGAATGAAAAACTTGTAAGCTAAGAATTTTATATCCAGGTAAACTGCTGTTCACATATCATGGCCAAAGAAAGACATTTTCTGAATCTAGAAGGATTTAACAAATATGTTCTATTTATATTATATATAATCAACAAATATATATACCAAATTAATTTTCCTAAAAAAAAAAATAGTAAGTTAAATAAGAATAAAAAAAAAAAAAGGATTCAAAATAAACATGTCAAAGGTGGGTCAGACATCATCAAGACTGGCAGTAAACCATGAAACAATATAAATGTACAATTTTAAAGTTTAAAACTTATTAACTTTAAATCACTGTGTTGACATAAAATATGTAACTGTCATAAACAATTCCTGAGACAATTATATAAATAAAACTAGGACTAAATTTTCAGACTAGGTAGGGAAGAAATGTAGAAGACATACAAGGGTGACCTCTCCTAAGTGGTGGGAGGGGAAAAAAAGAGTTGAGAAATAATTCCTTGCCATGCATCTTTTTCCATGAGCAATCTCATCCCACTTTCACAGAAACAACTATTTAAGAACAGAAAGCTCCCAAATCTGACTCCTACATCTAACTGCTTAATCAGAGATTTCACTGTATTATCTCAAAAGCATCTTCCAATCAGCACATCCTAAAAGGAAAACCTGCACCCCACTTTTCATATCCCAAATCCATTCTCCTGATCCACTATTTGTAATGGCTGTTCAGTCTGACCATTTACTCAACTGCTAAGCTCAAAAATTCAGGAGATACTTTTGATCCCTTTTTCCTCATTCTCCCACATTAACTGCAATCACTAGCACCAGAATCACCTAGGTGAGCTTGTTAAAAATGTACACCACAAGGTCCCTTACCAAATACAGCTGACCCTTGAACAACATGGGTAAGAACTGTGTGGGCCCACTTATATACAGATTTTTTTCTGTCAAATACAGTACTTTCTCTTCCTGGTGATTTTCTTAATACCATTTTTTCTCTAGCTTACTTTATTGTAAGACTACAGTATACAATTCATGTAACATACAGAATATGTGTTAGTCAACTGTGTTATCAGAAAGGCTTCCTGTAAACAGGAGGCTATTAATGGTTAAATTTGGGGAGAGGAAAAAGTTATACACAAATTCCAAACTAGGAATTTGGCACCCCTAACCTGCACATTGTTCAAAGACCACCTGTATATCAGATTTTCCTACAGTGGGTCTCAAGAACCTGTATTTCCAAGAAGCACCTCAATAATTTAAGTGCCCTAAGGTATACAAACGACTGCTCTAGAATCATTATTTCAATTATTATTCACCAGTGACGAATGTTCACCAAAATAATTCCCTTGTCTGCACAGACCAAGAAGCCATAAGACATGTAAGTTCACACACAGAAACAAATTACTGACATTTTATAGAGTTAAGTTTCTGCTTTATCTTAATTTCTACATAAGAGCTTTCGATAGTAACCAACATAATTTATTTAAAAAGCTTCTAACTTTATCCCTGCTGCATTTGAAAAGAAATTTAAATGTACTCTCTATGGAAAAAAGTCTGCTGGTTGTCTACTCCATCCTTCCTTTCTTTTCCTCTTAAAAACAGGATCCCAGTTTTTTTTTCATGGTTTGGCACAAAAAAAATTCCCCAGCATGTCTTGCTCTGAGCGCCCCGTGATCAAATTCTGGTCTATATGAATCAAGCAGAAACAGTGTATAACTTCAGGAAAGTCTCCCTTAAGAGTCCCACAGAAGGTCAATAACAGACTAAGAAATCAAATTCTGCTGTCAAAATCTAAAAGCCCATGACTTCCCAACTCTAAGTTGTCTTCCTCACGTCAAATCCTTACTATACTTTGGACAAGTGCTTTAAGTGTACAAATTACAAAATGGTTCAGAAAAAAATTTCAGGGAAAAAGTCCGTTTTACTTCTCATAAACATGAAATAAATAATACTGAAACATTTACTTATAAAAGCTGTTTCAAATACCTAACACATTTTTGCATAAAATTAATTTTAGTATTAGTGTTAGAGCCCCTCACCAGTTCCTGAATCTGCTTAGTTATAAATGCAGAACTTATGGAACTCTGATGAACACAACTCAATGACTTTTATCACCTGAGTATGAAGAACAGGCAAATTCAGAATAAGGACGACCCTTGGGAAGAGAAAATGATGCCCATGTGCCACGAGAGGCCCTGAAGGGAGTTTGCAGGGTTCTGTTTTTTAAGCTAAGTAGTTGGTTTCCTTTAGAGTAAAGCTCCTAAACTCAGAATGTAACATTAAAGAAGACCCATCCATACACACCACCCCAATAAAAAAACCCTACACAAAAAATTACTATACTCTTACCCTACGCATGGCTTCCTCCTCTTCTTGACGCTTTTCATAATGTGCAAAGTCATCAAAGATTGAGGTGGTATGCTTGAAAGTAGCAATTATTTTAAGCACTTGCTTAGCTTTTTCTAGGGGTACCTCTTGAGTGTCCCTTGAATTGGTAACCGGTTTGTTGTCATTATTTTCTAAGCGAATATGCCGTAACTGGTTATTGGGAACATCTTTGACAAAGATCCATTTAACTTCAAATTTGCCCTTCCACTTATCCTGAGACCAGACACCAGCATATGCATTATAGTCCACAACAGACTTCATTTCAGCCACTCCACAAAAATGTCCACTGCCATTCACACTGAAGAGTAAATAGAGTGGGCCTTTCCCATTCAGGGAACGGTAAGCTGCATCCAAACGCTTATTACCATGCTCAGTACTACACCAGATAGAGTACTTAATTGAACGGTGTATGTCATCCTCAGAATAGCTTTTAATTATAAACACGCGTCCATTCTTCAGGTTCCAGTCAAAGTCTTTGGGATTATAATTGTTTATGGCCTTTAGCTTCTCCAGCACTGGATGCACTTCTACACTAGAAGGTGAAGCACTGACAGGAACAACACCTAAACCAAAGTTTTCACTGCCCACTCCATTGTTCTGGTTGAATCCAGCTCCCCTATTCCGAGGAGCCACCCAGCGATTCTGCAGCTGCTGCTGTTGGGGCTGCACTTGGTGAGGCTGGGCCTGTGGCTGAGGTCCTTGTTGCTGCTGTGGTTGTGGTGGCTGAGGCTGCTGTTGAGGCAGTTGGCTTTGCACCAATGGTGGTGGTTGAATTAATGGCTGAGGCTGCTGGATTATAGTTTGAGGAGGCAGAACTGGTTGGGTTGGTGGAGCCTTTACCACTGACCCCTTTTCATCCCAAGTTCCAATATTCATGTTGTGTTTTATAGGAGGTGGTGGTACAGCAGAACCCCCAATTCCCACATTGCCCTTGGGTTTAAGTTTCGGTTGAGGTTTGGCAGGCTTTCTGGCAATGGCAGCCCAGGAGGTCGGTTTAGGCGCTGCACTGCTAACTGGGGGCACACTATTGGTTGCAATGCTAGTCATTCCACTGCTGCTCAAGGCTGTACCTACAGTTTTTGTCACTGCAGCTGTCAGGTCACCACCAATTTTCAGTCCGGTCATGCCTTGCTCAATACTGCTAATGCCAGGCACCTTACTCAAAGTATCACTGCCAAATCCAGCCTGTCCATCTGTAATAGCTCTCCCAAGAGAACTAGGTGGATAGCCATAACTGCTACTATAAGCAGAACTTTGTGTTGATTGTCCCTGAGATCCACTTGTCCCCCATGTAGAGAAATCAGCATTACCAGGAAAAAAGTTAAATCCATGTTGACCAAGAAATGGAGGGGTATTTCCTAATGCCCCAGGTTGACTAAACACACCATCTGGTATATAATGATGTTCTCCATTACTCATTTGTCCATAGGTTGTCAGATACGGCATAGGTTGGTCTCCAGCCGTGGACCATGCTGCTTCCCCAAGAGAATATGGAAATCCAATGGATGGAGCATAGTAACTAGGCATATATGGATCTGACATTGGTGGATAGCTGTTACTCTGGAAGACAAAAGATCATAATCAGGAGCGAAATATCCTCTGAAGAGCAAGGGAAAAAAAGACTCTGAAAAATTAAAATCAAGTAGTTTTAAATAAATGAAAAAGATGCACCTATTCCAGATAAAATTAAAAGTTCAAATCCAATTTTATCAAGGCAAAAATTTGCTGGTATTTTAATTTTAAAATATTTGTTATAAAATTACAGGGGTTTTTTGGGAGGGGAGGAGATGGGTAGGATGGGATAATTTTTAAGAGTCAGATCTTCTGGCACATTTTTAAAATACCATCATTTCTACAAAAATCTGAATTATAAATTCACAGACACAAATTGATCATTTACAGCCAACTTTATTTTAAGCAGCTGATGTATCCAAAAATTTATATGCAAAGATTAAACAAATCTGGAAGCTATGCCAAATAACAGAGGAACTATAGTATACCTATCTATATGGTGGAATCCAATTCAGCAATTAAATTTTGTACTTTTATTAAAATGCTCACACTGAGAAGAAAGTAACAATTCAAGATTATACTTATGGCATCATCTAAATTTGCTTGTTTTGTCTTGCTCATTTTAAAAAAGAATCAAAATCCTTACTATGGTTTCTTAATGGTGGGCTACCAGGTGCCTCTTTTTTTTATACTCAAATTTCCAAATTTTACCCAATAAAATCACTTTCCTATTCAGAATTTTAATTTGGAAACTGTTAGTTCCTGTATTTTCCTCAAAATTACTGCTATTAAATCGTTTGTCCTGAATACAAACTAATCATTCATTTAGTAATTTGCCAAAAATGAAGGCACCAAATTCTACTTAAAGAAGAAAAAAAACTCCAACTTTGTTACTAGCCAATATAAAAACAAGATATATTAAGGGTATTTTGAAATGGGTTTCTTAGACCAAAAACATGTCTGAGAATAGATTTTCACTCTGGTTTAGTTGTGACTTTTAAAACATTGGACAGACCTTTAGAGTGTATAGAATTAAGCAAAATTTAAAAATTAAGCAAATATCCAGTCAGGACAACTGGTATTCCCCCTATAAGGGTGGACCATTCTGAAGGCTGATTATTCATTTAATTTATATAGGCATTCTTATTCTAAGTTCCCTAGAGAAAAGTATTTAACTTTTTCTTTTTCCTGTTACTCTCTTAGAACTATGTCGCCACTACTTTCCCACTCAAGAAAGTGTATCAATATAAATATGTAACAGTAACATCACAGATACTACCTGGAACTCGTTTGAAATTCCTTTTAAAGGCCAACTTTGAACATTGAGATATTATCACTACTGTTACTTCGACACACCTCACAACTGTTGAAACTGTCCACTGTCTATGAGAAAGTTAATATTTTGTCCTTTGAAATAATTCTGATATAACTGATATAAAAATAACTTATGAGAATCAAATAAAGGTTACACTTATATTAATAATTTTGACATAGATTTCCTGGGTATTTCCAGCAACACTTGGACTTAAAAACAAAAACAACCAATACTTAGTACTATTTAAAGAAAAAATGACTTTTTAAATATACTCAATACATTTTACGATATTCAAAATGGGAAATAAATGTGTTACTGTTTACTAATTTGACCGAATATATTCTTTAACTGTGTTACATAATTACTAACTACATTTAAAAATATATTCAAAGAATGCTCACAATATTAGTATGAAGGAAATCAATGAACATTTTGGGAACCACAACAGTACTGGCATCATCACACAGACCAACACTGGAAATACTAACTGCCATATTTAATACAAGAGAAACCTGAGGAAAGCTTATAATCACCAGCAATGGTTTTCAAAAAAAAAATCTTGAAGAAATTAGTAATGATTAAACTTTACTACCCATGAAGATCACACACACACACACACACACACACACACTCACACACGTGTGTAATCTGATCACTAAATTATCTGCTGAAAATAAAAGTACTCATAGGGCTTCAGACTGACTACAAGGTCTCTGTGATATAAAACTCTTAAAAAACTTAATAAAAATGAATAGGTCAGCCAGTATAACATATATAATAGATTAACATTTTTTTTTAAAGATTTTATTCATTTGAGAGAGCGCACGCCAGACAGCACACAGCGGAAGGGGCAGAGGGAGAGGGAGCACCAGACTCCCCACGGAGCAGAGAACCTGATGCAGAACTTGATCCTAGGACCCTCAGATCACCACCCAAGCTGAAGGCAAATGCTTAACCAACTGAGCCACCCAGGTGCTCATGATTAACATATTTTTTAAATTATCTTTTTCTTGAAGTTGCTAAAAAGATCCTCATATTACTTTATTATTTATTTCAAACAAATACTTACTGAATGCCTACATTGTGAAAAATACCGATTCATTCATTCTAAAAGAAAACCTACAGTTAGAGACACAAAACATAGGAAAGTGAACAGGGGAAGAGTGAGAGAGCTGTGCTGAATAGGGAGGTAATCAGTTTCAAACTTTTAACTTAGAATGCTGGCACTGAAATCTGGACTTCAGTACGTCCTTACCTGGATGAGAGAGTGGAAAATCAGACCAGGCAGAAAGCTTTTATTTTTATTTATTTATTTATTTATCTGAGAGAGAGAGAGCACAAGCGAGAGAGGCAGAAGGAAAGCGAGAAAGAGAAGGAGACTCCCCACTAAGCTGGGAGTCTGACATGAGACCCAAATGAGTCACCCAGGAACCCAGAGGTAGAAAGTTTTTAAAGTTCATTCCTCATAATCAAGTTTTTGCAAAAATTACACTCCTAACTTACACTGAATATTCTTATTTCACCATCACAAATGTTGAATTTTGCAGTTACCTACCAAGTTCCTAACTTATCTACCTCCATAATAATTCACACGCTAGCAAACTAAAAGTCAAAGAGTAAATATTTAATCTTTGCAAGACAAATAATATCTATTGCTGTCACTCAGTCATCTTTTTTTTTTCTTTTTTCTTTTTTAAACAACCCTTTAAAAAGCTTCGAGCTTAGGGGTTGTTTTTTTGTTTTTTTTTTTTTTTTAAAGAAAACAGGGCACAAACTATGATCCCTGGGCTACAGTTTATCCACCCTGTTTTAACTGATTATCTAATCTGTACTAATTCCTAAAAAAAGAAAGCCCATATTCTCTGGGGAATGGGAAAACAAATTCTGCCAACTCTGTGACCTATAGGGCTGGACCAGGCCCAAACTCTTGGGTATGAGGACTTTTATATTAGATAGCTTTTCAATTATTTTTTTTAATCGTAATTTTTACTACTTCACGTGTAAAGTATTCTTCCCAAAATAATTTAAGTTACTTAAAATGTGTTCCATTAGTCACAACTGCTATCAAACAGACAGCTCTGGCTAATAAGCAGATGTACACTGCTGTCCCTGTCTTACTACAGAGCTGTCCAGTGTTACTGCAACCACCTGTATTTCTTGAGTATCCTGGGTAAGTGGCTAGCTTTCTGCAGTTTATCAAACAACACTAACCATTTACTTTTCCAGTTTTTTCAGTAGTTTCAGCTGAATGAGATGTTTTTTTTCTTAGGTCCATCAAAGTACTCAACCAGTTTCTAAAGGCAAGGCTTCATTTTGGGTTCCAATAACAACAAAGCTACAGGAAATTTCCAGAGTTTCAAAGTAAGATATGGTCAACACATTTTGAGTTAGTAGAGCTTCAACTGTAACTGGAAATATTTAAAAAATATGTTCTGTTAATTTCTGCTAGCTATGTGGAATATCAATCGGAGGAATCTACCTTGGTAGTGAAGAGGAACAAAAGTTCCACTTACTGATGATGGAAAATAACAAATGAAAACTTACTTTCACTTTTACTTCAAACCTGGTGATAATGAGACATAATCAATGTAACAGTTTATGTTCAAATAACTGCTTTAATAGTTTACTCTTAATTTGGAAACTGGTCAACTATAGTGAAATTTTACTATATTCTTTAAAGATATGCAACCTTTAAACCAAATGATGTGAAATGTTTGATGCGTCCCTCACAGTCAAAGAACTATTTGGAAGGGAAAAAAATAACATCAATTTATAGAAGTATATAAATTGATTTAAAAAATCACTGAATATAATGAAACACACTTGTAACAACAGATCCACAAACCCTTTACCTACAGCATAAACTTAGAAACACAATCTGGGGAGGGCATTTAACACAAGGTTGAAGTGAAGCCATGAGGTACCTGAACTTCAATTCCATCCCAGGCACTTATCAGCTATATGAAAGCAGCCAAGTTACTTAAACTGTGCATTGTTTTCTCATCTACTAAAAGAAAATAAAGATACACTGCCTAAAACACATTAAGTATTCAATCAACAATAGTTATATTTAATACAACTTAACTTGCTCCTTTAAAATGTAAATTAATAACCAAACACATGATATAATTTCAGACTTACTCCAGATCTTACTGAGTATAAACTCTTGGTGTGATGTAGGAGTCAAGGATATGGACTCAATTCTTTAATCTTTTACTTTCTATATCAGTGATCTCATCAGATCATGTAATTTCTCTAACCCTGAATCTGTTATTTAAAATAGGGATAATACCTGCTGGTCTTACCAACTGTAAAGATTTTTAAAAAATCTACTGTGCTAACTACAAAGTGCTACATGGAAGCGTAGGAGTAAGGCCTTTTACCTTTAGGTTTTTTTGTTTGTTTTTTTTTTAAATTTGTCAGAGGGAGAGAGAGAGAGAGCGAGTGAGGGTGCACGTGCACAAGCAGGGAGGGTGGCAGACTGAGGGAGAAGCAGACTCCCCGCTGAACAGGAAGCCCTATGTGGAACTCAATCCCAGAATCCTAGGATCATGACCTGTGCGGTAGGCAGATGTTTAATTGACTGAGCCACCCAGGCATCCCTTTTTTTTTTTAATTTGAAAACTAAAATACAGAAAAAAAATAAAAGATCTTCCTCAAAATTTTAATATCACTTATAATGATTTCTTAGCCTTATGATATAGATCAATTGTTTCTCTAATATCTCAAAGAAAACTTGAACAAGAAGTTCATGATTACTGCTCTGACTTGAGACATTCTAATACAACTCAACCATAGTTAGTCTTTCACAAAGAAAGTTAAGATCCATTTTTACTTTCTTTCCAAGAAAGGAGACACTATAAATATCCCAGAAGTTCAATTAGAAAGGAAAAGACATAATTCACCAATAAAAGCACTTTCGTACAGAGAAAAACAAAAACTGTTTTCCATTAAAAATTTGAGAACTTCAAACGCCAGAATTCACTTCTGAATTAAAGTGAGTTTTAGAATATTTTTAATGCTTATGTGTATTTTCTTCTAAAACTTTAAAAAAAAATATTGTACTTTTCACAAAGTATACTCAACACGTATCTAATCACAAGGATGTCACCAAAAAATGTATTATACATGGTACCCAGTTAACCTAAGTATTTCATCAACTGTAATTCTTTGTTCCCTAATTCTAGCAGATAACCCAATTCATTATTCAATGCTTAATAAATGCCTACTATGTGCCAGATACAGTGCCAGTCACTGGAGACGAAAAGATGAAGAACATGGACTCTGACCTGGAACACTTCCCAGGTCTAGTGGGGAAGACACATATCCCCTACAATTTGATAGGTTACTGTAATGGAAGTACAAACAAAGCAAAACAAGCATTCTAGTACAAAGAGCAGGGAAGCAAGTAATTGAGTAATCAAGAGTCTTCATCAAGGGATAGAAATAGGAGTCTGTGTGTGTACAGATCATAAATACAAATACAAAAAGTGAGATCATGAAAGAAAAATATTTGGAAAATATTTATATTCCTAGAAAATAGTGAGTCCTATTCCCTTACAAACTGGAGAAAGCTGACCAAGACAAGGCAGGGAGGGAAATGGAGCAATTTTAAGGACCCTCATACAATAAATGTATCCACTCTTATGAAGTTGTTTAACTCTTTAACATGACGGTGGCACAGACTTGGATTTTAAGAAGATTGCTGAGTGACAATACAGAATTACTAGTTAGAAAATCACTCCAACAGGCAGAAAAAAATGAAACCCTTAACTAAGGCCAGGACAATAAATAACAAAATTCAAAATATTTTTCCTTTCTTCCTTCTCTATTCCACTTCTCTGACAAACATGACTAGGAATTATTTCCCCATATAGACGACAAACTCAAACTTAATTTTTCCAAGTTGTTCTTCAAATTTATATGCACAAATTACATGGCATCTTTAACAGTACTATTTAAACCTGAACTTTCCAATCAACTTAATTATCTGATTATTCTGAGGAACTTTAGAGAACTAAATTTAAGACCCGAAGGATAAACATTTACTTTTCAAGTGATTACAAAAGTTATCTGCTTTAAGAAACTGAGCACTAGAAAATATAATACACTACCACAGAAGGCCAACAACCTGTTTTAAAGTATCCCTGGATTTGATGTGAATCAGATCCAAGTATACAAAACAATTTGAATCATTAGCTAAAAACTGAAACACTTTTCCAGACAAAAGATTCATTTTTCTTATTCATAATATGAAAATCAAATGGAGTTTAATTTTAAAGACATGTTATACATTTAGTTGAAAATTTTTTAATTAAACATTTCAGCTAGATCAGAACAAGGAACTATAAATGCTTGTGTAATTTTAATATGTAAGTAATTACTTGAGATATTTCACCAATAATTTTCATTTTCACTGACCTGCTTTAAAGGGTCAATTTTTAAAAATTTTCTCTTTACCTAGGTGTTATTATGAGTAACTTAAATTCTCATACAAATCATCTCTAAGATTTCAAGTAATTTTCAATTTTTCTCTCCAATAAACCCAGTTTCCAACTTGCTATAGTGTGAGGACTCTTTCAAAGGTAAGTATGTGCCCTGGTTACAGATATTATTTTTAGTATTGTAGAAAGCTAATTGCTAAAAACCTATTCATTAGTACTGACAAGGAGAGGAAGGACAGAACAGCCTTAGTGGCATCAAATTTTAAAACTTCTCTTTAAATAGCACATGAATATACAAATACCATAAAAAAACAATTAATAGAAAGTATTAAGATTTTCTTTTTAAACATCACATTAAAACAAATCTTTTACAGATTTTTTTGTCCCAACATAAGGAAACTTTAGTGTGATAATTTAAAAACTGGGTTCACTAAATCTCTTCCACCATTAAAAAAAAATAGTTTTCTGACACTTTCAAAGTTTTATTTACAAGTGCAATCTTATGCAGAATTCCAATATATAAAACAGATAAAAAGCAGAGGACAGCTCTGATTGCTGCAGGAGTGGGATCAAGAGTACCCTCCCCTAGTTTTCCCTAGGCAGGCCTGAACCACTTCTGTGGAATGCCAAACAACAACAACAACAACAAAATCTTCTAAGCCCCTCTGACAACATATTATATAATATTTGTTACCAAGTAAAATAAAAGGATTCTTACTGGTTGCAATTCTCAAACATTTATATTCCATTAAAATTCCCTGAAGACAGGGGTTGAACAAATAAGTCAAGAGGATTTTCACAACTATATCCTTGTCTTAGAAAATCATCTTACATTATAACACATAAAGATGAAATCAAGTAGCAAAAAATTTCAATTACTTAATATTTAAAACAATTTCCCAAATTTATCTGATCATGAAGACCTTTTTGAGACAGTATCTACTACACACTTCATAATATCAGAATTTCTAAACAAAAAGAAACACTGCCATAAGAGATGTTAACTGAGATTACCATGTGGGCCCAAATAATAGAATACTGAACATTTTTTTTAAAACTTGCACTACAATTCAAAACAACGATCTTCCTATTTTCTAGTTATACGTTATTTCACAACCTTTAAGTGGGAAGATTATAAAGTTAGATTATGTAAGTATGAAGTGAATTTTTTCATTCTTTTATGAGCAGCCAAACATTCATAGATTTTATCACCCATTTTTAATCTTTCTCATTTATTTATTCCCTCCCAACACAAGCTAGGAATGTAGATCAACAGATAGAAGGGGGTGGTTAAGGAGAAAGGACCAAGGGGTAGATCAGTTTGAACATAATCATGGCTCTCTACACTCCTAAAAACAATCCTACATACCACAAATTGGGAACTACTTTTCAAACTTACCCTACAACTCTAAAGGCCTGCAATGATATCTGGTTCCTTGTTCTTTCCGTTTAAAAAATATCTATAAGATTTCATGGTACATTTTTCATATACTTTTTTTTTTAAGCAAAAAAACAAAAGCAGTTTTATTATAGAATATTCTTTTGCAAGAAACTGGTTAATGATGAAAGTTTATTTTTTTAATTTATATTAACAAACAAATGAATGCAGAAATGGCATATAGAGACCAAAGAGATCAAAGAACTCTCTTTTGTTTTTCAATGCTTAAATCTAAATTATACCTGTACACAAACTCACACAATTATCTGTGAAAAATCCAAACACAAAAGAACCTCAAAAGTACCAGTTTGATTTGATGAAATTTTCCAAGCCTACAATATAGAAGGCAAATGTGTTTATATATCTTCTATTCCCTATGTTGTATTAACTTTAATTATCAATGAAATTCAAATTGGAATAGTTATAAAAGAGAAAACACTACATTTAACCAAAATTTAAGTTATGACTAGTTCTTTCCCATAAATGCATAGCTAATTAAACCTTATAATTTGCTTTAGCTATGAAGATATGGCAGCAACATTAAACTAAAAGGTTAAATTCTTTCAAAGTTCAAAAAAAGAAGTCCAACCATACCATACACAAATAATGTCCATCTTCAAATCTTTAATTTCACAATCTAACTTCAGCCACCTAGAATTTCTAAAGAATTCTCCTGTACCACAAACCTGCAACTGTTATTCACTATTATGCAGGCACACTAGATTAATACATATTATGGTTAGCCTCATTCAATTAAAGTATCTATCTGAAAAATCCATTAATACTAATGTAAATTTAATTTCCTAAATATGGGACTGTCAGACTTACCTGATTTGTCTGGCTACTTAAGTATGGCTCAAAATCATCATCATTTACAGCATCTTTTTGATGAATCGAACCGTTTTGTACTGAAACTAAAAAATATGTTTATATTAGATGTGTGGTAATTATCTTTATGAAACTGACAGAATAACCTAACATTTTCAGTATTTTTTGACCAACTCAGAAAAAGTTATCCTGAGTTGTTCTTTTTGTTTAAAAAAAAAATCCTCTTAAAAATTTTAGCTCAATTTAGGTACAAATATTTATGTGCAAACAAAAACTTACAAATCTTGTATATACCCAAGATTACATAAATATTAACTATATACACACTTCCCATTACCAAAAACATAATGTAAATAATCTCAATTTCAACCTTGTAGCAAGCAGTTAAATTCTTGGAAGGGTTCCCTGATACTATATTTGAATCTAAAATAACCACCTGAAATAGTGTTGTGGATAACTGATTGCTGAACAATGTTCTCTACCTCTGTTAAATCTCTATATAATTTAGTACAAGAAAGGTAAATAAAGGATGAAATAACTTTCCTTGGTAACTTAAGTTAGAGTAAATGTCTTAAATGTTTTCAAATTAAAGAAAGTGGCTAAAATTCATCGAAGCAGTTATCACAATGAATAAATCATAAATAATCTAAATAAAAAGGCCTTTAGTTATAAACCAAAAAATTATGAAAACTTTCTTGAAAGTACAAAGACACTAAAGATAACCATGATTATTCTTGCAACACATAAGAAAACCAGAGAATAATTTATAATGCTGTATTTGTTCAGAGATCATTTCCAAAAATGCTTTATAAAGTTGTTACTTTCTGAATGGTATTTGACTGCCTTTGAGCACAGACTAGAAATAAGGTCTTGTGTTTGAATCCCAAGTCTAACAATGAGAAGCGGGTTATCTCTAGTTAGTGACTTAGCCTCTCTACTCTACTTCTCCGTTCAAGGAGATAATTAACAGTACCTACCTCAGTTCATCTGAGGATTCAAAGACAGTATTCAATATTCTTGACTATTTTATTACATAAAATATTACAAGATCCAAAAAGGACTAAAAATTACTTTAGGACCGCATAAACCAAAGTTTTACAAGGCTAGAACCTGATATGCTGACACTATCTAAATACACTATTCTACTTTATACACTATTCTACTTTATACACTATTCTACTTTTGAAACACATGTGAGATGAAAAGCTAAAAGTTCCTTATGGATGTTGACTAATCCCTTAAAAACAACAACAACAACAACAAAAAACCCTTCAGAATCTGAAAATTCACTGCTTAAAAATACAGTGTCACAAAGTTATTATAAATTAAGGCTGGGGGCAATGGATTTAAGTTGTGTGTTCCTCTACAGTATCACTACATTTTTATTTTCCCTAATTTTCCAAGAGTTTAGATGACCAAAAATGTAATATTACAGGCTGACAGTGGCAGGGAGCAGAGATAGATAAAATCCCTTCATTCTTTGCCACCCACTGAGTAGCAATGATCAGTCAAAGAAATACTACTCTGTGAAGCCTTCAAAGTAGACCTCTTATGATACTACACTGCCCTCAAATCACAAGAGCAACATGAAGGTCACCTTGATCTTGGCTCCTCTGAGGTGGTTTAACTGTATTTGGTAAGGACTGCAAGAACCAGGGTTGAGCTAAATGTGCTCCCTAGAATTTAAATACGTTAACAGCCACTAGAAACAAAAATAAAGAGGGGGGTACCTTAGGTTATTTCTGGTGGACGAATCATTTCAGCCCAAGAGATTCTAACCCCTTTATCAAAGGCAGTTATGCATGGTCTGCTGGGGGAGGAGGGGATCCTCACTGCACCACTGGACTATGGCACTAGTACATGTTGTTATCTGAAACAGCTACTCATTTCAAAATTACAACTATTTCTTGCATTCATTAATTCTCAGAAATTTAGCCCATGCTGCTCATAAAATGTATTAAACAAGTACTCACTTAAAATCTACCTAAATCTATATTATGGTGCTATTCTTACTCATTTCCTCTGTTCTATTCTTTCTCTTCTAAGATGCTGAGACTAAGAACAAAATATTCTCATGCACTAAGTAAATATACAGTCTACAGTCTGTGCATAAATGAGGCATAAATATGTCTAAAAGTTCTAAAAGATTATTCAAGGAGTATGTCAATCTAAGGAAAAAATATTTAATTAAAAGTATTTCATGAATACTGACAAGCAATTTGCATTAAATTAGAATCTGAATAAGAAGCTAGCCCTTGAGTTTCAGAAGCATACCTTTCCTTAAGAAATTCAACTGTCTTTAAAGACTGCAGTTTTTGAACATTACTTAATGACAATCTAATGTCTTGGAGACTGAAAGCCATTAAATAGCAAAGATATCCAAGCCAGTTCCATAGTCTGTACAAGTTCTTCAGGGAAAAAAGAACAGATGACTTACATGATTCTTCGCCTGTTTCCTCTGCTCTATGAAGCAGAGTCAAATCAAGATAGAACATGGGCCTTAGGAGCCAGGTGATTCTTTGCTCTGGTCCTGACTACATCAAGTTAGGAAAGTCAACAGATCTGTGCATCATGTTTTCCCACCTACAAAAACAGCGACAATACCATATACCCTCTATCTCCTTATAGGAATGTTTTGAGGATTAATAATAAAATGAAGCCTAAAATGACAATAAAGTGCTTTGCAATTATTTCCTGAGGGACTGTGGGGAGAGGATACAAAAGAATACTGCCCAAACACTACATTTTCCACCACTTTTCTGAAACACTAAATACAGCCAAATTCAACCTAATTCTTTTAAACTGCAGTTTTACCAAATAATTCTGTCTCTCTGTTGGGAAGGGATAGGGGAAGAGAGGAGGGAAAAGATAAATTCCTTTCCATGTATTTGTCTATTTATACACTTAAGGCACCAGGAGGAAGCTGGCAGCAAGGCTGCTAGGAGTACAGGATCTGACACTTTTATCTATGGTGCCTGCAGGGAAAGGAGAGGTATCCTTTTATTCTGGCAACAAAAACTCTGGTTATTAATAAATAAAAGTGATATAAAATCAGTTTTAAATTATGAACCAATATAAATAAATAAATAAATTACAGACTAATAGTGAGTTATCCTTAAATTTCTACTATCCTTCAGTACTACCCTACTGGATAGGGTAGTACTGGATAGTACTAGCCAAGGATAACAGAGTTCTAATATTTACCATAAGGAAAATCTATGAACTAAAAAGAACTCAAACTTACAAAAAGTAAGCCTAGAATTATTACTTATACTATGACAGCATTTTTGCCTTACAAAGAGATACAGAATTCCTTTCAAATTTTAGCTCTGTTAGTGCACTTAAATCCTTAAGGATATACAGAAAAAAACTTAGAAAATCAAAGACACTAAGATAGGTGTCGGGCTCACAGTGTCAAATGAAGATAATTCAGAGAAGAAAAACAGCATCTCTAAAATTAAGTCATCTGAAAAGGATTACGGTTTCAGAACTTTGACAACTCCTCAGCAACATGTATTTTTACTGTTTGAGAAGTTGAATTCAAGTTAATACTCATAGTCTTAGAATATTCATGCTGTAGTTCAAAAAAAAAAAAAAAACTTTGCTTTCTGCTTCACAAAAGTAAACAGAGTAACTGTAAAACAATTTTACTAGCTTGAAAACCAAGTCAGCTAAGGCACAGTAGTTTTTCTCAAACACACACATAGCTACTTGTATCAGTTCACTGGAGGTGCTGCCTTCGCCTTGTAATTCTCCCTGCAGGGGCATAAAAATACAAGTGATGTAGATGTGTATTTGTGCACTTGCAGCATCTACCATTTTAAAGCATCTTAAATGATTACCAATACTCAGGCCAGTAGAGTTTTTCCCTTCTGCCATGTCTTAGGCAACAGTCTCCCTGCATCTTAAAAATACATGAGGTGAGGAAGGTGAAAATAAATCCACCAAATAAAACGGCAACTAGAGCAATGGACTACTGTAATTGTAATTCCTCATAATATACAATACGATTTACAGCTAGAATTATCACTTTTATTTTGGAGATAGGAAATTCTGACCAAAAGGTGCAATGTGTTCAAGCTCACTGGGCAAGTCAGTAGCCACAGGAAGTATTAGAACACAGGTCTCCTAGAAATCCCAGTCCAACATTCTACCCCTGGATAAAACTATGAATGGAACAATAAGGGTGAAAGAAAGAAAATTTTTTGGAAAAGAGAGCTATCCAAATAAATACTGTGTGTGTATAGATACACCTAAAAGAGATTATGCTGATGGACCAAAATTATTTTAACAACCAAAAAATACTATTTGTAAATGTCAATATGCAATTATTGTCATAGATAATTTATACCAGAGATATCAGTAGGACATACCTAAGTGAAATGACTATATCGCAATCAAACTTACAGTAATTGAGTAATGGCTTACAATGCTATAGATGCTTTATTTTGTTTTGTCAAACAAGTAAGTACTTCATTGAACTTGCATACTTACCTTAAAGCAGGTAACACAAAACACTTAGTATTTCAAATAGCCTTGCAAAGTGCCACCTCCCCACAGATCTAGGATACAATAATTTATGCTAGGCAATAATGACCACAGATTTCATATATCTCCAGGTCTATACACTTCCTCATGAGCAGACTAGCAAAAAAAAAAAATTAATGGATCATTCTTTTCAAATTTACAAATAAATATTGTAAGACATTTAAAACAAACAATACCAAATTCTGAGGTTTATGCTTACAACAGAAAATAATTCTAAAATTAAACTTTTAACTCTAAAAATTGAAACTTCTAAATGTGTATATACTCCTCCAAAATACATCTTTAATCAAAATAAAGCAGTAAATTTATGCTACACTAATACAGTGCCATTTATCTGGAATGTGCAAATTCTCAAACTACTACAACTCAAAGAAAATTAACTGAGTTGAGTTCTCAGAACCTACTCTTTTCAAATTTGCAAAGGCAAATAAAAACCCTAAGAATATAAAGAGCACCAATAAAAACCTTGGACTTACATCTAAAAAGCTATTGCACATCTTATTTTCTAGGTTATACTTTACTAATTGAAATAAAAAACAGGAAGCATAATTCTATTTGGTCTAATTTCAAGCCCTAGTACAAAATGTTATAAATATATAATTCACTGTAATGTTAACTGGCACTATCCCAAGAAAGCAGTTATTGTTCTATACTTACTAATGTCACATGATTAATGTCATGTTTCAGTCAGTTGACTGTATTGTTCCATATTAATAGACACAAAATACACTTATTTTTAAAAAATGCTTCACTTTCAATGGTTTATTTTATTTTTTTTTAACTGAAGAGTAAATCATACAGCCAGAGCAGAAACCTCACAGATTTTTTTCTCTCCCAGACCTTTCTAAAATACCAGATTGAGTCACACCTTGCAATCAGGGCTACACAGCAAGAGGACATGCCTGTTCAGTTTTGATCTCTCTCGTGTTACTGCCTCATTGTAACTGTCTTCACTAGAACCAGTGGTTAACAGTACAGTTTTTCACTAGTGTGACATGAAATACAACTTGAGTTGCATTTTCTAACAAAATACCCACTTATATGTACGCATTTGGAGAAATTTTTGTGGTAGTAGTTACATAATACGGATAAATTGCAAAATTAAAGAAATGTCCCCACATTCATAATACCTCCTTAACTGAAATACAACTAAGAAAAAAACTGTTTTTTGGACACTGTGGTTTCTATAAAAGTGGCTTCAAAGCAAAGTTTTGGATAGCATTTGACTGCTTTGGCTGTGATGAATATTTCTCTAAACATACATTTCAAAACAACAACAACAAAATTGGAGCAAAATTAAACAAAACGACCCTGGCAAAGTTTAAAAGTGACATCAGACGAACATTAGGAAATAAAATAAAAATATTCAAACTCACCTTTATTTCCTTGCCCTTTAGGTCTCTGCGCAGCAAGACGAAAGGTGTGGTAATGAGAAGGGGGAAAAAAAGGGAGAAAGTGTGTTAATCAAAGACATTATCAAAGACAAGTTATTTTCAACAATCCGCGTAGGAGTAAAACCCACTACATCCTCCATAGCCTCCAATTTCCCAACCACCCCCAGTCTTCAAACCTCCTACCCGCCACTCGAAAACCGTCTCCGAGAGCTCGTTTGGTCTCAGCCCCACGTCTGCCGCCCTCAGATGTGCCCTAAAGCCCCTAGGAGCGGTCGTTCCCCCACCCACCGCAGCTCCGCGGCCTCCCGTCTCGGCCGCAGGCTCCGGGGCAGGGCGCACGCCCCGACCCGGGCGGCAGGACCGCAGCAACTTGCGCCCAAGGCACCGTTATGGGGCCGGCAGCGGCGGCGACGGGGAGGAGCCGAAGCCCCACGCGAGGGTGGAGCTCCAGGGCTCGGGCCTTCACCGAGCCTGAGGCCTCTGCTCCCTCACCTGATCCACGCTAGTGGCTGACATTCTTCACCGCAACCCGAGAGCTGCTGCCGCTGCCGCCGCCGCCGCCGCCGCCGCCGCCGCTTGGGCCTCTCCCCGTGCACTCACAGCAGTTGGCTGCCGCCCTCCGCCGAGTGACTGATCCAGCCGCCGCCGCTGCCACCGCTCGCTCAGAAGCCAGAAAGAGGGCCTCGCGCTCCGGGGTCCGTGGAAAGGGCCCTTCTTTTCGGCGTGCAGGCGCTTCTTCCCTCTCTCGCTCTTCGCTCCTCGGGTCCACAATGGCGGACAGACTCCCTAGTCTCACTTCCGCTCCGAGCCTCCCTGACCTTCCGCTCTCCACTCTGACGTCCCTGCTCACCTCGCTCTTCCTCCCCCACCCGCCCGCCCGCCAGCTACCGACCTTGGCTCCGCCTGCGCATCGCCACGTCACCGGAGACGGGGACCGCGAGGCGGCCCCTGGACGCATGCGCCGGGGAGGGAGTGCGCCTGTGCGGCGGCCAGCGCCACCTTCCAGGGACGCTTCTGTGGCTTCTTTCTGTGCGGCTCGCGGGTTACAGGACGCGCGGCGGGCGAAGGCAGCGGGAAACGGGCCCGAGCGGGATGCCCTTGCGCTTTGGGCAGGAAGTAGGCCTGGGCGGGAGGCGGCGGCTGCTTGGGACTAGAGCGGGGCTGAAGGCGCAGTGTCAGCGGTGCCCTCCTGCTGGCGGAGCGCACCTTGGTGGGTTGCAGCGTCGCAGCCCCAGCCGCACCCGTCCTGGGTGAGCGAGCAACAGTGGCCCGGCCTCCGCCAGAGCCTCCTGAGGCCACCCAAGGCCACGTGGGCGGCTGGGTGAGTCAACCGCCCTCGGGACAGAGATGCTGGGCCTTCCGCACGAGCCAGCACGTGCAGCCAAAGTGGCTGGGTTAGAGCGAGCAGAGAGGAGGTTCGCCAGTGAGTGTTCGTTCTCACCAAACCCCAGGCACGTGCTCAGAATAACTCATTAATCCATAACCTCAGGAGTGGAATTTACCACCCAATTCCTGTACTTGTGTTCCCGTCCCCTAATGTTACAAAGTAATCTCGGGAAAGATACAGATGGTTGCAGGAAGTTTTTCAGTCATAAAATTAGTTTCAAAAGAAACTGGTTCAGTTACTTTTCAGCTACTTTTTTTGCAAACTGGCAAAACCAAAGCAGCCGATTTGCAACAGTTTGAAAGTTTTGTTGAAATAACATCTTTGCAATAAAGGCGGATTCCTTGCCTAACAGGTATGACGTGGACTCTAAAAAAGAAATAGTTTGGATGACTAAATCCTTTATTTATCAAAGCAATCGGATAAGTGATCGTTGAGAAAGTATAAAATTGTTGAATTATAGGGTTCATTTTGTGTTTCACGATGCAACAGCATTTTAGAAGCACTGAAAAATACAAATGAAACTTATTTTGAGAGTCCACTGCTCCATATAAATCACCAAGAGGCATTTTTCAGATCTGGTCAACTTCCCATGCTCTCTCATTTTGCCAGGGCCTCAGCCAGATTTTCAGCTCAGGCTGATCATTGTTGCCACTTCCCAAGACTTCTCCCACGCTTCCAGTTCTTGTTCTCAGTCTCTCCAGTCTACCCATCCTCCACTCCTTATAGTGTGAAAGAGTTTGCTGCTACATTCTATGACTGGGGAAAGAGGATACAAGAGGAAGCTTGCGAAATCTTGCAGGCCTTGTTCTTAATTATCTTTGTTAAAAACCATAGCTTTGGAATCCAATCTGAGTTTCAATTCTGGCTCGGCTAGAATTAGTTGCATAACCTTGGGAAAGTTACTGAATTTTTCTAAGCCTTAGTTTCCTGATAACTAAAGTAAAGTAAGGTCAGATATGTACAATTCCTGGCGGGGGGGGGGGGGGGGGCAGCTTTCAGCCAAGCATAGCTAGTTTCGGGTTTCTTTGCTAAATAATTACCAGAATGGTGCTAATACCTTATGTTTATTGAGTGTTTTGTTATGTTTGTTATGTTTATTGAGTGGTCATTATGTGTCAGGCACTATAATAATTATTTTAAATCCTCACACCATCCTTCTGTGGTAGTTCTGTTACAAAAAAACTGGCACACAGTAAGGTCAAGAAACATGGCCAAATACAGCTAGTCACAGAGAGCCAGGATTTAAACACAGGCAGTCTGGCTCCAGAGCTTGTACTCTAGCCACCATAAAATACCACCTAATGACATGTTTGATGAGCTTGTTCTCTTTCATTCCTGCCCCTCAGCAGTCTCCTTCCTTGCTCATTGCCCTTCTTAGCACTGAGGTCTGAACTTGCAGAATGGAGTGGTAACTATCATGAAATACAAGCCCATTTAATTTAGTATTAAATACGATTTCTTAAGATTTTACTTATTTGACACAGAAAGAGAGAAAGAGAGAGAGAGCACACACAGCAGGGGGAGTGGAAGAGGGAGAAGCAGCCTCCCTGCTGAGCAAGGAGCCCAATGTGGGGCTCGATCCCAGAACCCTGAGATCATGACCTGAGCCAAAGGCAGTTGCTTAACCCACTGAGACACCCAGGCATCCCTAAATAAGATTTTTTTGAAGTGCATCAATGGAGACTACCTAAAATCTTTTCCAATGGCTCCAGGAGTACGCAGATGAAATTTTGAAAAATGCTGCTCTAGAGTGTTGATTCTAGACAAACTTTTTAACTTTTCTACAGGGCCACTGGTATATCAGGTTCTTAATAAACAAAACATGGCTGTAAGCTTGGAAAGGAGTGAGTAGGTTAGGTTTCAACCCCATTTACCCATCACCCATATTGATGCCTTATCCAGTAGACTTCTGCTCTGTACAGCTCTCAGCAACAGCCCTGTGCTTCCACGTGACTTTTTCTATCAGCTGCAGTTTAAAGTAGGTTCAGCTGCAGGTGACATCAAGTTCAAAATAACAGAAACTTAAGCTAGAGGTCTGTCTTTCTCTCATATGAAAGAAGTCTGGAGGTTGTCAGTCCAGGGTTTGGGCTATTGTCACAGTGTTAGGTATCCAGACTCCTACCCAGTTGTTCCACCATCCTCATGATAACACTTCCACCTGTGATCCAAGATGACTGCTCAATGTTGTAATCACATTCCTACCAGCAGAAAGCAAGGTGAAGAAAGGCATGTCTCTTTCCTTCATGGACATTTTGAGAAATTGTATTTCCTACTTCTACCTACCTCCAACTAACTAGAATACAGTACTATGAAAATACCTGGTTGAAGGAAACTTGGAAACCATTCTGGGTGGCCACATGTCAGAAAGATTACTAAGAAGGAAGAAAGGGATGATAGATCATGAGAGATAGCTAGTTAGTAGTAAACTGTGTATGCATAATTACACAGATTTACTTCCTTACTTAGCACTAGAGTATTGATTGTAGGGTTACAAATAAATTTTAACTGAGTAGGCATTTGCAAATACAGGATCCAGGAATAATAGGAATCAACTGTATTTTAAGTGACAAGAATAGTGATTGACACAATGTAAGTAATAAATAAGTTCTTTAAAAAAAAAAGATTTTATGTATTTATTTGACACAGAGAGAGAGATCACAAGTAGGCAGAGAGGCAGGCACAGGGAGAGAGGAGGAAGCAGGTTTCCTGTGAAGCAGAGAGCCCAGTGCAGGGCTCATCCCAGGACCTCAAGATCATGACCTGAGCTGAAGGCAGAGGCTTAACCCACTGAGCCACCCAGGCACCCCATAAATAAGAGTTCTTTTCTCCTTTTATAGGTGCATACTATGATACTGAGTTATTAAACAAAATTTTTTATGAATACTGTGATTCTCTGAGTAAAATATATTAGAAAGCAATGTGTAGATTAAACAAATATGTCATTTGTAGTTGATTAAAAGTGGTGGTTAAGTCATAGAATGTCAGATATAGCCTTCTAGCCCATAGGAAAATCAGATTTAGCTTAAATTTTTTTTTTTTAAGTTACAACATTTTTCTCAAAAAATCAAACAATCCAATAAAATATGGCCAGAGGACCTGAATACACATTTTTCCAAAGGAGATAAACAGATGTCCAACAGACACATGAAAAGATGCTCAACATCACTCATCAGGGAATGCAAATCAAAACCTGTATGAGCTATCACCTTACTCCTGTCAGAATGGCTAAAATCGAAAAGAGAAGAAATAACAGTTGGTAAAGATGTGGAGAAAAAGGAGCTCTCATACACTGTCGGTAAGAATATAAATTGGTGCATCCATTCACTGTAGAAAACAGTATGGAGGTTCCTCAAAAATTAAAAATAGAAGTACTATATGATCCACTACTGGGCATTTATCCCACCCAAAAATAAAAACACTAATTCAAAAAGATATACACACTCTCATATTTACTTCAGCATTATTTACAACAACCAAGATATGAAACTGACCTAAGCGTACATTGGTAGATGAATGAATAAGGAAGATGTGATGCACGTACGCAGATACACACACAGAAATACTACACAGCTATAAAAAAGGATGAAATCATGCCATTTGCAACAACATGGGAAGGATCTAGAAGGTATTTTGCTAAGAATAAGTCAGACTGAGAAAAACAAATATGACTTCACTTGGAATCTGGAAAAAAAAAAAGAATAACCAAAAAGCAGAATCAGACCTATACAGGGGAAGGGACGGAGGAATGGGAAAAAATGGGTGAAGGGGAGTGGGAGATCCAGGCTTCGAGTTATGAAATGAATAAGTCACAGAAATAAAAGGTACAGCATAAGGAATATAGTCAATGCTATTGTAATAGTGTATCATGATGACAGATGATAGCTGTGCTTGTGGTGAGCATCCCATAATGTATAAACTTGTTAAATCACTATGTTGTATACCCAACACTAATGTAACATTGCATGTCAACTCTACTGAAATTAAAAATTTTAAAAATAGTAAAAATACATTTTCATCAATACTAAATCCACCATAAGCTCAAAGACTGAGTACATGTTATTAAAAAGGATTTGTACTTCCCTGAATTTCACATATGTATCAAATAAAAGATTTTACAAGGAAAAGTATTCATTTTTAATGCGAAAATGTTGAAGAATTCCAGTTTTGTTTTATAAGTGGGTTTTTTTAAAATCAAAAACTTCAAATAGAAAATTTTGATATTTCTAATAAGTCTAGCATAAGCAGTAAAATTACATTTAGATTGTAAAAGACTACGAAAAGACAATACTTGTTTGTAAATGTCATTCAAAAATCAGAAAATTTTGAAAATTTAAAAGTTTTGAATTTTAATTTTAAAATTTAAAATTTTTAAATTTTTAAAATTTTTAAAACAGTAAATGAATATGTTGATTAAATTATAGTTAATAATAGAGTGTACAAAGTTCCTAAAACTGACCAAAAGACCTCTTCTTTA